CGGCCGGGTCGAGGCCACGTGCCCCAGCGGCCGGGCCGCGCGCGGTGGGCGTGGCTTGGGGCTCGGGGGGCGGGCCCCGTGTGTCCTTGGGCGGAGAGGGGAGGTGACTCCGGCCGGAGAGGACGCAGGATGAGGGCCCTGCGGGTGAGGCCCCCACGGGCTGGGCCGGGGTCCCGACCCCGAGAGCCCTCACCCCGGCACTCGACCCTAAGCATCCTCGCATCTGGGGCCTCGGAACCGAGCCCCCTTCGGGGTCTGGGGCTCCCTCCCGCACAGCCAGGGCCCCTGCCCCGGACCCAGGCCTCGGGGGCCGCCAGGGACCCGTAGCGGGCCCAAAGCGCTGCGTCCGGAGCTCCCTTAACACCTCGGGGCTTCAGACACTGGGGACCTGCCGCCGCCACCCCTTACCCAGGACCTCTCGGGCAGCCTGGAAACTCCCGGGACCTGGCTTCCCCCGTTAATCCAGGAAACCCTCCCCCCGAAAAACACCCCAGGGCTTGGACTCCCAGAATATGAGAGCCCCTCGGGGGTGCTCTCCCCTTTCAGGACGCCCTAGACAGCCTCGTCACCTCCAAACCGGACTCTAGCGCGAGTTGCTTTCTGGGCCGGTTCGACAGCGTCCCCTCCCCCACCGCGCTGCGGGTTCGAATCTTCCCTTGGAGACTCTCGCCCGGGCTAGCACCGTCCCCACTCCGATCTCAGCCGGGGCCTCCAGGCCGGGCCCACTTCAGGACACCCGAGTGCCTCCAATACCCATCCTCTCCCTCCAGGTCTCCCAGGCGCTGGTCCGCGCCTTCGGCTCAACCGCCCGGAACCGCTTTGAGAACCGCGTGGCGGAGAAACAGAAGCTCTTCCAGGTGGGCGGGGCAAGGGGAGGAGCCCGGGCCGCCCGCTGGGGCTGAGCCAAGCCGGGGCGGGGGGCGGGGGTGATGCGCTCTCAGGGGCTGCCAGCACCCCTCTCTCATCGGATACCCCACACCCAGGCGGACAATGACCTCCCGGTGCACTTAAAAGGCGGAGCGACAGACAACATCTTGTACCGACTGACTATGGCGCTGTGCCTGGGCGGTGAGCGCCGGGTCCGGCTCGGCGGGAGCTGCGGGCGCCGCAGTGAGGAGGGGCGGGTTCGGGGACTCACGGGCGTCTGGGTTGCAGTTTGGCGTTCCGGGAGGGGGTTGGATCCTGAACTGGCCACGTCTGGGGACCAGGCTGGAGATACCCAGAGCCTGGGATCTAAGGATCCCATCCCAGGAGAGGAGCCAGACCAGTGATGGGTCTAGGGCCCAGGCGGGAGTCTGGGGGAGAAAGCACCCGGCCTAGCCTAGATCGTTGCCAGGGGGTTCCGTACCTGAGCCCAGTCTGGTAAGGGAACAGGAGCTGGGATCCGGGCTAGGGGTTGGGACACCTGCAGAAATGGGCTTAAGAGGCCGGACGA